GAGGATGGAGAGGAGGGAGAGGAGGGAGAGGAGGGAGAGGAGGGAGAGGAGGGAGAGGAGGGAGAGGAGGGAGAGGAGGGAGAGGAGGGAGAGGAGGGAGAGGAGGGAGAGGAGGGAGAGGAGGTGTGGGTGCGAAATGACGGCCTTTCGACAAGGTAGTGGTAAAGTGAGGTTAAGTGCACGAACACAACTTATCCATTACCTTTGCTCCTTGTAAGCTTTCAATCGATTCAGCACCTCATTCAACTCACATTGCTCACACAGATTATCAAAATTTTATCACAACATAGGCTGCGGCACCCTCAAACGCAACCACTACAGGCTAAGACAATTCCTCTTTTGGGCAAGCCGACATAACGCGTAGCGTGTTGTTTGCTAGCCGTTGCCCCTGCAGCCGAATATTGGATTTCAGAGTATAATAATTATCACATTAAGAATATTAATTTACGCGTTTCAAACAATCGAGTTTACTAAAACCATTGAAGCATGAAAACCTAGGTATGAAGATAATATTTTGTTTTACATTAATGCACGAAGCCTCGACATGAAGATGAACTTAAGAAAACGTCAACTCAGGCAGCGGACTTAAGGTGGCCGTTCTCTTTCAAAAGCGCAATTCGAAGACACGTGATCCCTGCTCCTGCTGAGCACATGTTAGCCGTTTCGCAACAAATTATCCATATTTTGGAAGGATTGGCCGTTATTCACACAGAGCTAGGTAACCTGCTGCTGCCTTCCTGCCGTTGCGGTCTTGAACCCTAAACATGCTATCGGGAAGGCCGCCGAAAGGCGCGGACGATAAGCCCGTTCTGTATCCATACATGGTTTCTCAGAGGGTCCGATTTCGTTCGTATGTCTCAAGTCGTGCGTTATGCTTGCCATGTCCTGAGGCCGTACGTGTCGTACATACCAGCAGCCACAGAAACCCCACAACAACCCCCCTCGTGACAACCACCGAAGCTCCTCATGCACTACTGGCTTTCAAATCCTGATGAGCTCAAGCGCTGCTAGATGGACATCATTTCCCTTCCGGAACAGATCGACATAAATGTCCTGCGGCTGCTGTTCTACGAAGTGGGAAACGATGGGGCCGGTGCAACTTCGCCGGTCGCGTGTAGATAGAGTTCTGAATGTTACAAACTGACAGTCCATCGAGCGCGGCGACGACCGTTAGCGTTCAGGTAACACCCATCTACACATTCCGTGGTTCTCGGCAGGTACGTCATCAACCAGCAAAGCGCTACATCGTTGTTTGCCTCAACCTGGCGCATCATCTAGTGTAAATATCGCTAAGAGACTCTATCGACCAATGTGGCTAGCTTGCTAAGGACAATGTTAATAAGCTAATACTAGCTAGCGTCTCGTAACCTTTGATTCCGTCCAATGATACGTGCGCGTTGTCGTACGCTATCCATCGATCGAACAACCTAACCAATTTGTGTCACACAGCAATCGGCCGGCCATGACGACGACCGTGCACTTAACACAGCAATGTCAAATAAATGTGACAAGATGAAGCTCTGAAATTGCTTGTAGCATGCTACACCACTGCTTATCTCAGCAGCAGCCCAACTCATCACTAACAACCACATGGCTCAGTCAATCTACTGCCTATCTATCTGCGCGTGCCAAGCGTTACGAATGTGCCGATCGGGCAGCAATCCTTGTCTTCCGAAAACATGGAATACGTGCAGGCACCCAGGCCTCCCTTGGCACAGAAGGTAGCCAGGGTGGGGCATGTGGACGCCGACAAGAGCTCCAGACACACCTGCCGGCCCTGGAGGGGAACCGAGCTGGGGGCCATGTTCAGCTGGGGGATCTTGAACGTCCCATTGACGCCCCACTGCGAGTCTATCTTGATCCCGTCCAGGTACACGGCCCGTACGGACCCGCGACAGCTCTCCCTAGACCACCACTCCACTTTGGAGAGCGCCTGGCCGCAACAGGGGCTGCTAGGGTCCGCGCACGGCACTGTACGGAGCGTCAGGCAGTACCGGCGGTTGGCGCCATTCAGGCTGAGCGACGGTGTCTTGTCGAAGTTGAAAGGGACCAGGCCAGGCAGGGTGCGATTGCAACTGCGTGGGCAATGGAGAGAAGCACGGGTGAATGGAATAAATACAGTCGCATACGCAGAGTCGCAGACCAAACGCTTAGCACGCTCTACAAAGTCACAAGCGCCACCGCTCTTAACTCACTCGCAGAACGGAAACGGCGACCTAATCCGTACTGGTGTGAATGGCGGCGCAAATGGAGGCGGACGGCTCGGTGGCAGAGGGCTGGGGG